TGCAGAACATTGATATTGAAGACAATGTTTTATGGAAGAAAGAGGAAGCAAGGTCCAAGGAAGAGCGCCTGTCTAATGGAAGCCTTAGAACTAGCAAGAGGAAGTCTTCATTCCCCAACAAATCAGAATATGTAGAAAATGGGACTCACGCTACTCCTGTTCTGTCAAGGCAGCCAAGCTATATGGCTGCAATAGAGTCCGCAAAGGCGAAATTGCGAGCCCAGAATTCACCCAGGCTGGATTCTGATTCATCAGCAGAAAAGAATGGTTTCACCCGACGTCACTCTCTTCCTTCCAGTACAAAGAGTAAGTTTGAACTCACTCACTGTGTTTACAGACACATACAAGGAAGTAGGGATGGTGTAAAAAAGTAATGGATCTGTATTTTCTTCAACTTTTAAGTGATGCAATCATGCAAATGATAAGAATTAAAAAGAGGTGTTTCTCAACTGACTATACGTTAATAGCTTATCGATTTATGGTATTCATTTTGCCATCATCTTCAGAAAGAATTTATCTTTAATAGCTTGGAATATTAAACTCAAATGTCTTGACTAACAACCTTTCTTTTGTTTTTTGGACATTCCTTCTCATTGTATTTTTTTAAGATCTGCAGGTAGAGCAATCAAAGCTGAGTGGAAACGCTGAACAGGCAACCAATCTTCCACTTGAATTGAATTGCGCAATGCTCTGAAACTTTGCTGGATGAACTCGACCGATCTTGTCTCTTTTAAATCTCCTGCGATGTAATGAGAGATGTTCTTGCTGTATTGAACAACCTCGTGAAGTTGTGATTCTGGTTCAGTTTGTCGTAGGTTCATGTGCAACCACTAGTGTCTTGTGTCATTGTATATTGCACGATTCTTGTCGAAGGAACTATGCCTGTGTAAGCTGATGTTAGGACTGCATTAACTGAATAACATCATCCAGTTGGCCTTGCTGTTAACTTCAGTATTTGAGACGAACCATCAATTATGAGAAAATTCAGAAATTTACAATCAGCCATAACAGAACAGTGATTTCTGGAACAGCTTTCTTAAACAGAAATGGCTCCTAAAATGGACAGTCCTTCAAATATAAATGTGATTAAATGTCTTACATAGCTAACAAACCCCAAAAAGTTTTATCCTAACAGGTTGCAATATATATTAATCAAAATGTAACCTTTCAGCAGACGTGGACAATTTGGCCTCTTGGCAACTCCAAGTAAAAGATATGTAAATCCGCCTTGGATGAAAGGAGCAAACGTGGCTGAAGATTGCGCATACACATCGGTTGTAGCGGTGGCATTGTGGCATTACCATTGCTGTCTTGGATCAAAGGATCATCCATGGTAGAATGTTGGCCAAACTCATCATGAAGGCACACTGTCACAGAATATGAAATTGTTCATAAATCTTTCATGTGAGTAAATAACCATGAAAATCTGGGCAATTATTTCTGAACTGTGGCATTTTACAAAAACCAAGACATGGCCTACTACAGATTTAACTAAACCATTCAATACTGCAATTCAGCTAAGGCAAAAGCCAAACTACTCTCCAGTCTTTGTTCTGAGCACTGATAAGAAAGTTCAGTTTCAGTTATTCACATGTACACACAAACAAATTGATATGCAATGTGTGTGTTTATGCTTCTGAAGAGTGAAGCCCTCAAACAATCTGAGAAAGGATGGTTTCCATACTTCTGATGTTGAGCAGCTGTCTCCAAAGCAACAATATCAGTAGTGATATTGGCACAAGTGCTTCCTTCCAGCAACCATCTTGAAGTCGTTGAGAAGAACAAGGAGGAACAGGTCTCAAGTGGTTCGATGCCCACCTGCTCAAAACCAAATTGCCTGCCAATGACTGCCCAGGTCACCATCGCAAGTGTTCTGGACTTCTGGTGCTCGGCTCCATAACAACAGCACAGTGCCGGCCCTAGGGGTAGGCCACGAGGTGCGATGGCCGAGGGCCTAAGCGGAGGAGGGGCCCAAGACTAGGTATACAAACCCTCAGGTCCTATAGTCCATTAGTCATTAATAAACTAATGAGAAGAGAGACATAGAATTTGTCAGGCAGCTCAAAAGGACAACATCGACATTTCTTTCCTAGTTTCCTTTTCCCATGGCCCTCGGATAGAGAGGAGGCAGAGATCACGCTGCACACACAAGACACTCGATCGTGAGTTCGCGACGCGCTACCCACGAGTTCGAAACCACACGCCAAGAGCTAGACTACTACCAGAGACATGGACACGGTGCACGAGGATGGCGACCATGCAGGGCTCCACGACAACGACATCTTGATTCTTGACTTCTTACGAATTGTGATCATCGATCAGTTATTTAGGCCCAAGGTATTTTTTCCTTTTTATTTTTAATCCAAATTAATTATTTGTATAGTATTTCAGACTTCTAGTACTTTATACCCATATAGTCATATTTTTCTTATAATTTAGCTGTTAGAATTTTAGAATGTTACGTACGAAACATTTGTCATGGGTGAGAAAAGAAAATTAATATATTGCTTTTTTTAATCTATATTGTTCCTCGATAATTATCATACATCTACAAATATATTGCTTAATCTATATTGTTCCTCTATAATTATCAGACATGTTAAATTAAAAATATGTTATTAAATTTGTTTTCGTTTTGCAAGTAAAATTAGTGCCTATATATTATAAGATTTTATACATGGTCAAGAGGGGCCGTTGCGACGAGATCGCCGGGGGCCTTAAAATCCTAGGACTGGCACTGCAACAGCAGCAGCAACAACAACAACGATAACAACATAGCCTTTCAGTCCCAAACAATTTGGGGTAGGCTAGAGTTAAAACCCACCGAGAGCCCCAAGTCACGGTTCAGGCACTTCAATAGCTGTTTTCCAAGCACTCATATTCAAACATAAATCTCTAGTTATATCCTAAGCTTTCAAATCTTTTTTTATTGTCTTCCCCATGTCAATTTCGGTCTTCCTCTACCTCTCCTTATATTATTAGCTTAGTTTAGGACTCCACAATGCACTGGTGCCTCTGGAGGTCTCCTTTGGACATGGCCAAACCACCTCAACCAATGTTGGACAAGCTTTTCTTCAATTGATGCTATCTCTAGGCGATCATGTATATAATCGTTCCGAACTCGGTTCATTCTTGTGTGACCGTAAATCCATCGCAACATACAGATTTCTACAACACTCAGTTTGTTAACACAACATTCTGCTCCATACAACATAGCCGGTCTAATCGCCGTTCTATAAAACTTGTCTTTTAGCTTTTGTGGTACCCTCTTGTCATAGAGAATGCCAGAAGCTTGTCGCCACTTGATCCACCATGCTTTGATTCTAGGTTAATGTCCGCATCAATATCTTCATCCCTCTATAGCATCAATCTCATATACCGAAAGATATCCTTCTTAGGCACTACTTGACCTTCCAAACTCACATCTCCCTCCTCCTATACAACTCCGCCAAAGTCGCATCTCATGTACTCGGTTTTAGTTCTGCTTAATTTAAAACGTTTAGACTCAAGGGTCTACCGCCATAACTCTAGTTTCCTATTTACTCCCGTCTGACTTTCGTCCACTAACACTACATCATCAGCAAACAACATAGACCAAGGGATATCCCCTTATATGTTTCTGGTAACCTCATCCATTACCAAGGCAAAGAGATACGGGTTTAAGACTGACCCTTGATGAAGTCTAATTTTAATTAGGAAGTAATCTGTGTTACCATCGTTTGTTCAAACACTAATCACAACATTGTTGTACATGACAGCCGATTTTTTTTTTAATTTAGCCCCCTTTTGTCAAAAAATCACGTTTACACCCCTGGTGGTCAAATTTGAATTAGAATTCCTATTCATGTTACTCAAGATCAGATGGATATATTTGAATTAGAATTTTTAGCTATCTCGGTTCCCTCAAAAAGTTCCACATATGTCATAAAAAAACAAAAGGGCGGCTATAAACAGTCGAACATAGACATGTTCTACATTGACGTAGTTAGTTAGAAGAGGGCCACACAAATAAATGAAAAGAGAAATTTAGCTCTTTAGTATTAGGTATAAGGATAGATATAGATATGTGTTCATAGACCTAAGGTGTACTCCTATATGCATATGTTTGTAATAGTGAATATATGTAGTACGTGTATAAAGTTGTCTTTGTTTTAACTGTGCTTTTTTTTTTTAAAAAAAGCTAAAATTCCTTAACAGCCTAGGTTTATTCTTGCTGTTTGAAGATTAAACAAAAATCTGTATAAAATTTTCTTTGTTTTAACTGTGCTTTAAAATTCCTTAACAGCCTTGGTTTATTCTTGCTGTTTGAAGACTAAACAAAAATCTGTACTGTAAACTCCTACCTGTGCAAACTGTAATTTTCGCTTTGCCATTCCCCCTTTCTTTTGACATACTCTGATAAAACATATTATATATAAAAAAGACAAAATTATAAACTTTGACTAACAATTAGTCAAATTGCATATAAAGTTAGGACATAAATTTCAAATTTAAGATGATTGTATTCAAAAGACCTGTCATGGTATTGATTTTTTTTAGGAAATAGCCAAATATTGTTAGTGAAATTAAAGATCAAAATCTATTTTATGTGACTTTTCTTTTGTTGCAAATGCATAATTACTACTTCCTCCTTGCGAAAAAGACTGCACATCTTGTTCTTCAAAAGGTCAATCAATTTTAAACGTTGCCACATCTATAAAAAGGTAATAATATTTATGATATCATATACTAGTATTAGATTAATTAATCACGTAATATATTTGTATAGCAAATGTATTGGAAATATAGGACATGTTCACTTTTTGCGCGACGGCCGCAAGACCCGCAACCGCAATTGCATTGCCCGCAAGCGTGGCGGTGCGTCCCGCCGCTAGCCTGGCGTTCGGCTCAAAGGCACAAGCACAAACACAAACACAAACACAACGGCGCAACGCAAGCGCGCGCTCTGCAACTAACCAAGTAGAGGGGAGGGACAAGGAGCAGAGCAAGAAGGCAAGAAGATGGCCGCCGCTGCCGCCGTCCCGGACGGCGTCTCCTCCTGCGGGAGCACCAACATGCGCCGCGCCGACCACCTCCCTCAGCTCCCCATCCCGCTGCCCTGCATAGGCGAGCCCGCTGCCGCCTCCCGCGTCTCGTCAGGCTCCTCCCCGGCCCGCTTCGACGCCGAGCTGGACCCAGAGGCGTCGAATACCGCCGCCGCCGATCACTACCGCTGCTCATCCAAACTTTCAACAGCCTCCCGCCTACCTTCGCCGATGGAGCCCCACCTGCCTGCTGACCTCGCGCGCCTCCTCAAGACCCGACCGCTCCAAGCCCTCATCTCCAACGCGTCCACCTACCGCGCCGCACGCCACCTATTCGACGCGGTGCCCCGCCCGACAGCCGCCCTGTGCTGCGCTTTCCTCTCCGGTCTCTCAAAGCTCTCGCTACACCAGGAGTTCATTGAGGTCGTCTCCTCGCTGCATCGCAGGGGCGGCGCCATCCCGTCAGGCTGCATCCCGCTTGTCCTAAAGTCCTGTGCGCTGTTGGCAGCGTCCTGCCAGGGCAGGCAGACGCATTGCCATGCCCTTGTGCGTGGGATGCTAGGAGATGTGTTCGTGCAGACTGCTCTGGTCGATTTCTACGCCAAGAATGGGGACATGGAATCAGCTGTGATGGCCTTCAAGGAAATGCCGGTGAAGGACCCAATACCGATGAATTGTTTGATCACTGGGTACTCCAAATCAGGGGATGTGGAGGAGGCAAGAAGGCTTTTTGATAGTATGCCGAGAAGGACATCTGCTTCCTGGAATTCGATGATTGCCTGCTATGCGCATGGTAGAGAGTTCCAGGAAGCATTGACATTGTTTGATCAGATGTTGCGCGAGGGTGCAAGTCCAAATGCTATCACTATCACAACGGTGTTCTCCATTTGTGCCAAGACTGGTGATCTTGATACTGGAAGGCGGGCAAGGGCGTGGATCAGGGAGGAGGATTTGCAGAACGTGATAGTTCACACTGCTTTGATGGAAATGTACGTCAAGTGCCGTGCTATCGACGAGGCACGTCACGAGTTTGATCGGATGCCACGAAGGGATGTCGTAGCATGGAGCACCATGATTGCTGGTTATTCACAAAATGAGAGACCACATGAATCTCTTGAGCTGTTTGAGAGGATGAAAGCAACCAATTGCAAGCCAAACGAAGTTACTCTTGTTGGTGTATTGTCTGCTTGTGCTCAGCTGGGTTCTGATGAACTCGGAGAACAGATTGGTAACTATATCGAGAGTCAGACACTGCCACTAACCAGCTATCTCGGATCTGCTCTGATTGATATGTACACCAAGTGTGGGCATGTTGCCAGAGCTCGGAATGTCTTCAACCGGATGGAGCAGAAGGTGGTCGTTACTTGGAATTCCATGATCAGAGGCCTAGCACTGAATGGCTTTGCAGAAGATGCAATCGCCTTGTATGGAAAGATGGTAGGAGATGGGATTCAGCCCAATGAGATCACCTTTGTCGCGCTATTGACAGCATGCACCCATGCTGGCTTGGTAGACAAAGGCATAGCATTCTACGAAGAGATGAAGAAGAAGCAACATGTCTCTCCACAAGTTGAGCACTGCGCTTGCATAGTGGACCTCCTCTGCAAGTCTGGCAGGCTGTGGGAAGCCTACAAGTTCATTTGCGACATGGAAGTTGAACCGAACGCGGTGATCTGGAGCACGCTGCTCAGCGCCTGCAGAGTCCACGCGGATGTTGAGCTTGCCAAGCTCGCCGCGGGCAAGCTTGTGGCACTGGAGCCCAATAACTCGTCGATCTATGTTCTCCTCTCAAATATCTACGCTGACGCAGGGCTATGGGGCGATGTGAGGGAGATCAGAGACCTGATGAGGAGCAAGAACTTGCAGAAGCTGTCCGCCTACAGTTGGATTGAGTTAGACGGTGAGGTACACAGGTTCCTGGTACAGGATACGTATCACCCGAGGTCAGCTGAGATTTACAACGTTGTCGATGACCTGGGCTTGCAGCTGGAGAGGACTAGTCCTGATCATGAATTAATTTCAGAAGTTTGCTGATCAAATTACTATCATGTCAATTACAATACTTTCTCGCCAAATGTCTATGCAATTTGTGTGGGTGATGGGTCTGAGTGGGTCTTCATTTCAGATCAGCAGAAGGTATTGTTCCTAGCACCTGATGTGAACTTCTATTATTAATTATTTCATCTAACTATGTGCTAATTATGATGCTCCAAATTTAATGGCAGGGAATTCTAACAGCTGTACAAAAATTAGCTCCTATGGCAGAACACAGGAATTGTGCAAGACACATTTGTGCAAACTGGAAGAAGCATTTCATTGACAAAGATTGGCAGAAAAAGTTCTGGGCATGTGCAAAGGCCCCTTGTGTAATGTTGTTTAACCTGGCCAGAGCAAGGTTAGCCAGAGAAACAAGAGAAGGTGCCCAAGCTATACTCAACACACACCCACAACATTGGAGCAGAGCCTGGTTCAGGTTAGGTTCTAACTGTGACAGTGTTGACAACAATCTTTGTGAGTCTTTTAATAAATGGATTGTACAAGCAAGATTTTTCCTATATTATTACAATGCTGGAAACAATTAGAAGGAAAGTTATGGTTAGGATTCATGACAACGTCACTAAATCAGCTAGATGGAACACAATAATTTGCCCAAATATTCTGAAGAAGTTGAATGCCTACATCACATTCTCTGGAAACTGTCATGGCATTTGCAACGGGGCTGAAAAATTTGAGGTGCAACAATGGGACAATAGATTCACGGTAGACCTAGTCAAAAAAGAATGTTCATGTAGATACTGGCAATTGTCAGGCTTGCTATGCCCTCATGCCATTTCTTGCATATTTTTCAAGACCAACACTCTTAATGAGTACATAGCCAATTGTTACTCTATTGTGGAGTTCAACAAGACCTATGCTTACTGTCTGGACTCAGTTGAGGGCATGAACAACTGGCCTGAGTCTGAAATGCCCAAGCTGAAAGCTCCAGGTTATATCAGGATGCCTGGTAGGCCTAAGAAAGAGAGAAGGAGGGACCCTACTGAACCACCCAAAGGAACAAAGATGTCAAAGGCCGGGAAGTCATAAGATGTTCCAAGTGCAAACAGGTTGGGCATAATAAAACCTCATGTGAAAGGAGAAATCCAACAAATACATCAGGCAGTTCTGTCCCTCAGCAGTCTGCAGGTCCTCAACGTTCTGTACCTCCTTAGCAATCTGCAGGTCCTTCCCAGTTATCATCACCTCAGCAGTCTATAGCTCGTAATGCCATTGTCATGATGTCCAACAACCAGGAAAGCAGTTCGATCTCAAGTAAAAGGAAGGCTCTGCCTCCTATATCCAAAGCGAGTAGCACTAAGGTAACAAAAATTCTGCATCTAATTCATGCATTCATTCTTCAAATATTTGTAACATTATGTGCATATTACAGAAGATTGTGAAGACCAGTGCAAAGGTAACTGTGAGAACAAATGATGGTGGTTCAGCAACAATGAAACTAACAGCTACTGTGCCAAGACCAAGTGCAAGTTCAAGGGTCACTGTCAAAATCAACTCTGGGACTGCAAGTGCACAAGTTTCTGCTAGTGCACCAATCATGAAGCAGAAAACAAGCAAAACCAAAACTCCAGGACCTATGCTTATGCTCCACCATGGGAAACAGCAAACCTGTGATGAACCTTTGTGTGTAGGACTTACGTTGCTTGGTATCTCCCTGTTTGTAAGACTAAATTGTGTGCTAGTTAAATGTTACTTATGTGTCAGACTTCTTGTATGGGTGAACTCAGTTCAAGTGTGGATAGTGTGATGCTTTATATTATGTTTGTGGAACTCAGTTTTCTAAAATCTGTGCATTTAAAATCTGTTAACTCAGCTGACAGCTAACTTCCATTAAAATCTGTGCACGGGTGGCAGAAACAGCCATCCAAACCGCCGGAGGTGGAAAAACAAACGGTTTTAATAGTTGAGCGAGAGAAGATTTCTGGTTTTATAGATCAGGGAGGAAAAACGGACGTACGTCAAAGTTGAGGGAGGTAAATTAGATTTTTTCCCTTATTGGGCTTTTGCCAAGTTTAGGCCCAGCCCAGTAAGAACTTTACTTAGCACCTAGGTCTCTCAAAGCACGAGACGGCCAGAGCACCAGATTCCCTTCCCCTGAACCCGATTGAGATGGAGTCGGAAGCTGACAGGGACGCGGCGCCGGCGCCAGCAGTCGCCGCGGAGACCAGCGACGACGCCATCCAGGAGGAGTCTCCAGCCACGGCCCCTTCCTCAGACGGAATGCCCGGATCAGGGGCGGCCCCGGCGCCGGAGATGGAGGTGCAGCTGTTCCGGCGCGGGCGTCCGGTGGCCGTGTTCCGGTCGCAGCTGGGCGGGTATACGCAGGACCAGCTGGAGGTGGGCGACATCCTGGAGCAGCACGGCCTCAAGTCCGTCTTCGCCTTCGACCCCGCCACCCGCAAACGCGGCGTCGCCATCCGCTTCATCCCCCGCAACGGCCGCTCCCTCCTCACCTACGCCCCTGACTCCACGATCTTCCTAGACGGCGAGCCCAAGGTAATCTTAGAAGCAGCACCCACAAACACCACCGCACATCAATTTCGCCTCACCCTACTTGTTCGTTGATTTAGCAACTGTTTAGCATACCTTGTCGCCTATAAGGTTAGTATCGCAAATAGCCAATTTTCTCCTCATATCATTCTTTTGTATCTTTGATGATGGTTTAGGATTCTTTGCTGAAGCCCATCACGAAGATGGTGATTGGAGTCGCTGCTATGACTGTGGTAGCTGCAGTGCTACTGAAGGAGGCCAAGATGCCAGAGTGGCTTCAGTCATCCAAGCTGGGCAGCGTGAGCTTCCCACCATGGGTGCTGGCTTGCATGGTCATCGTGTTCATGAGGCTTCGGAAGAGAACCAAGGATGTCATGAAGAAGTTTGGCTGGGTCTCATGAGGTAGCAACAGTCTTACCTTTATTTTGAAGAAATCTGAGTATACTTAAAGGCAGAAGTAGTTGCCGTCAGAACTCTATGTTACTGTCAAAATTCAAGTTAATTGAATTGTAATAATTGCACTCTATATTCTAATAGGAGGTGAAAAAATCGTTCTCAACGTTTTAAAAGTGTGAATGTGTGATATACAGTTCTGCACATCTCTTCTAAATTACCAGCACAGTTACCAGTGGTTTTTTGTGGTGGCATAGTGCTGTCATTTGATCTCTAGTAGTACAAAGCAATACTCGTTCCCTTTTAAAATAAAGAGGAAAATTAAGTTTTCTCCATATATTTAGTTGTGGTATAATATATTTTAAAACTTATACTCTTAATACTAAAAATTAGGGCCTCGCTGGATAGGTAGGTTCCTAGAGCAACCTCCTTGGCCCAAATATGTTCCTAATATTAGCGAGGGATTAGTGCATTACTTATGACTTTGAGCTTTTTTATTACAAACTTCTAGACTTTTTGTATGTGGTTATAAGCATGTTATGCAATGTGCTGCTTCCTTCAGTCAGCTTTGAGCATAAATCAAGTCCATCTCTGTGTTTTTGAACTAAATTAAGTTGTACTAAAAATTCTCTACGGAATGTAAGGCCGGTCTCAGTGGGAGTTTCATGTCCCAGTTTCCAACACTCTTATATGTTGAAAACAGTGCAAAATAGTTTCATCCTCATGAAACTCTCTATACTCCCATGAAACTTTTATCATCTCTTTCTTTATAAATACAGTGACATGTCAGTATATTTAATGCTCATAAAACTCTATGAAACTCTCACCGAAACTGACCTAAGTATTGATGGTTATGACACTACTAATCTGTTACTTCCAATCAGCCATCAAAATATTACACCCCCACCTGTAACACGCTGCGTCCAGTTATGTTCGTAGAGTTAATGCATTGGAAAGAGCTCTTGATTCGACCTAGTGTTGTATAACCCCTCTGTCCTGGTATACAAGGTGTACCATCTCTAATTCAAAGACCAAAAAACTCATTTAATTCTCTCTCAACACTAGTAAGTAGCATCAATGCACGTGTGTATAGGGAGAGCACGTCTTGTATTATGGAACTTAAATAAGAAGTGTTTACGCCTTAAATATTAGGACAAAGGGAATAGTATGTAGGCAATGTTTGATTTCCCCCCTTTAACAAAACAGGTGCATCTCTTCCAATTTTTTTCCCAATCATGCATGAGAACTGCATATCTTTATATTAAAAAAAATGGGCAAGAACCCTTACAACACAACACAGACCCCTGTTTCTAAGAAACTCCCTATTCCTGGTCATTGCTCTTTTATTATCCTGGTTATCTTTTTTAGGATGCCATGGAAATCCTTTGTGTGTCTCATATCCTTTTGTATATGATCAAATACGCTCCTAATATTAAAGATGAGTTAGGACATTATTATTGAGTAATGATGCTGAGCTTTTTTGTTACAAACTTTACTTAAAAAAACTACTACTATGCATGCCCTATATTCCTTTTTTCTAATCCTCCTCACATTCACTTGATATCTAGGCCCACCACTGCATAAGCTCTCGTGTCCAGCTTGTTGCTTGCTTGAGACTATGAGAGTCGAGCTCTCCTTTCTCTCCTCTACATCAGCATTTGCTTGGCTATAATACCATTATTGTACCTACTCTTATATTGATATAAGCATGTTATGCAATGGGCTGCATCCTTGATGAATGCCATCACAACTTTGTACTTTTAATATAAATCAAGTCCATCTGTGTGATTTCTAATTTTTTTTTTTGAAGGACGTCACCGGAGGGTGAGAGCCCCACCTAAATAGTTTTCCATTGATTCCGACAAGCCGGTGGATGGAGGGTGCACAAGCACCTTAAGGGTTGGGAGACCGATTGTCATTGATGTTACATTCTTAGGGGATAGGGAGAGAGTAATTCATTATAAACATTTCGCACCATTTGTCGACTATCTATCGGTCATCCACTTTTAGCCGGCAGCTCCAAAGCTGACAAGAATCCTTGCAAGCGGCCAGTAGGCGCCACAGGCAAGGCTGAAGGAAGGTGGTGGAAGACGACATCGTGCCTGTGGTTCCAAATCTCCCAACACAGAAGAATCATCGTCTGGAAGATGAGATGGTCGCAGATTCTGCAGATTGTCCACATAGCTCATAGACATCGTCATCAAGGACTATGTTTTTTTTTTTGTACAAGTTCACTCTGCACTGGATTCTTTCTCGTAGCAGCAACCACCCGAAGAAACGTAACCTGAGAGGGGCGTGGCTGCCCCAGTTGAAGTTGTATATATCCTGCTGCTTTGCCAGAATGTGTTCATGCCCGGTACAAGCCGCTGGTGGAGCTTGTTGGACGGCCCAACGAACTTGCTGGACCGCACGTCCGGCCTTTGGTGGAGGGTTGTAGGGGTAATCAGAGCCTCCACTTCGGGATTTTTAAGTTTTTGCCATAGTTACGGATGGCACTCATTTGCCAGTTTTATATGCACAACTACATGTTTACCACACGAAACAGTGAGATTCCTATGTATTTGCCATTTTCGCTGATGTGGCACGCCACGTAGTCAGCCAGCGTGGCAGCGCTTCTCAAGACCACCACTGCTTCTCTCTCCCTCCACTCGGTGACATGTGGGCCCCACCAGTCAGGCCCGCCGCTTAGAATAGGCGCTTCGGTTCCACTGCCTTGTCCGGGCTCGAGCTCCCGATCTTCGGTGGGTGCGTGAGCCGGCGACCGACTTGCTTGGGGTTGGGGCAAAGGGATGGAGGAGCGGGTGTTGGCGGCATGACCTGATGTGATGCCGTGAACCAGCTTCGCCATGGTGGGGTTTGCGCCGTCGGTCGCGGGCGCGGGGCCAGCGCCGCCATGGTCTCGCAACCTCCCGCGTCGGCCGGCCGGGCGCCGTCCACGCTTCGCCTCGCCATGGCACCGCAGAGAGGTGGTGTTGGCGCGCGTCGTCCCCGTCGTCGTCTCCGCCGCCCAGCCGCGCGCATGCGCGCGCCCTCCTCGACGTCATCCACGACGACCGACCTCCCGCCTTGGGGCCCGCCTCCACCGCCGCGGTGACCCCCCTCGTTTGCGCGCCCATGTCGCCGCCACCCCGACCACGCCACCACGGCGTCGCCGACGCCGCAAGACCACGCCGCCGCCAAGTTTCTCTCCTCCTCCGCCACGGCCGCGTCGGCCGATGAGGAGGAGCAGGAGCAGAGAGTCTCCCTGATGGCGCTCCTAGAGCAGACGGACCAACAGTGGAGCGCCGTCTCGGGCGGCGTAACCCAGCCCAAAGAAGATGGGAGAGGTTGAAGGAGACCGCCGACCCTGGCATTGCGCGCAGCGCCCTAGGCGTCCTAGGCGCGTGTAGCCTTGGCACGTGGCAGCTTGGGCGGCCTAGGCGCGTGCGGATGGCAATAAGTGGCGCGTGCTCGCCTCCTTGTTGTTGGCCAGAGGTTGAAGATGAACCTGACTTGTGGAGCCCACATGTCAGCGAGTGGACGAAAAGAAGCAGCGGTGGTCTTGAGAAGCGTTGCCACGCTGGCTGACTACGTGGCGTGCCACATCAGCGAAAATAGCAAATACATAGGAGTCTTCCTGTTTCGTGTGGCAAATATGTAGTTGCCCATATAAAATGTAGTTGCCATATAAAACTGACAAAACGGAGAATGTCATCCGTAACTGTAGCAAAAAATTTAAAAATCCCCTCCACTTCGTGCATCTCGCCGGCGGCCTGGTTGGACAGCCTTGGAACCAACATAGTGGAGAAGGAAAAAAAATAAAGCCGGGGCGGCGAAAACCCTCAAACCCTAATCCTTTCGTCCCCCATGGCGGACGCTGACGCCGCGCTGCCAACGCCGCCTCCGGAGGTAGTAGCCCCCGAGGAGCATCCCGCGGCCGCCGATTCCGCCGTCGCCGCGCTGCAGGAGGAGGCCGCGACGGCCGAAGTCGATAACAAGCGGAAGCTGGAGGAGGTCAGCACCGACGCGGAGGCGAACGGCACCGGCGAGGATGCCAAGCGCCCGCGCATGGACGGCGAGCCCGACGCCGCCACAGGGGTTGAGCAACAGAACGATGGGTCCTCCGTGAATGTGGAGGAGCCCGCAGCTGCGGTGGAGGATAAGGTTGCTCCGACCGATGGGTCAGCGATGGATGGTGATAATGGCACGGCCGCTCCTGCTCCGGATTCGCAGGTGGGTTCTGATGAGAAGCCGCTTGAAGCAGCATCTGAAGCTCCACAGCAGGAAGGTGATGCAGAAGCTGCTGCACAGGAGATTTCTCGTAAGATCGAAGTGCCCAACAGCAAGGTTGGTGTCCTTATTGGAAAAGCTGGCGAGACAATCAGGAACTTGCAAACGAGCTCGGGTGCACAGATCCAAATCACTAAGGACGCCGATGTGGACTCAAATGCCCTGACTCGGTCGGTTGAACTAGTTGGAAAACTTGGAAGCGTTGATACAGCTGAGCAGCTTATTAAGAGCCTCATAGCTGAGGCTGAGGCTGAGGCTGGTGGTTCCCCGGCCTTAGCTAGAGGATTTGGAAGTGGACAGCCTGGTTCAGAGCAATTTGAGATGACAGTTCCTGATAACAAGGTCGGTCTCGTTATCGGAAAAGGGGGTGAGATAATTAAAGGCATGCAGACCAAATCTGGTGCTCGTATTCAGTTAATACCCCAACATCCTCCAGAAGGTGTTACATTGACTGAAAGAATTGTACGTGTTACTAGGAATAAGAAGCTGATTGAAGTTGCAAAGGATTTGATCAAGCAAGCTATGAATCAGACATTTTCAAAGCATACAAACCAGTCTGGCGGATATGGTCCACAAGGTTACCGCCCTCAGGGTCATGGTGCAGGTTCTCAGTGGTGATTTTTAATTTAAGCTGTACTGAAAGTTCTCTACAGGATGTTAACTATATTAACTATTGATGGTTATGAGTTATGACACTGTGTTTATATATTCCTTTCTTTCCAATTTACCATCAAAATATTACATTGCCGCCTGTAAAATTTGGCCTTCTTATTTCGACCTTGTGTTTTAGACTACGTAGGCAACAGGTCTGAGACAAGAGTAGTATATCTGTATATGTGGCTTCATCAAAGCCAAAGTCAAAATAAAATACATCATCCTTCACTGGGAACTACAAAACCCACCACCCAAAAAAAACTACAATTAGTCTGCACTAATAAGGATTAGGCCAAACAGGTGCAGCTCTGTTTCTATGCCTTGCCGAATGATTGTCCTGAGGTTTTTGTTAGGCTGCCCTGGAAATCCACAGCATGTGCTTTTGCTTTTATGGTTTATGCAGATGATCAAAATGACAGATCAGCTAATACGCTTGCATTTGTATATGATATATCCTACTGTTCTTACATATTTGTATCAAGCTTTATATGTTATTTTTATTAATAATCAGATGAAGTTGGGAAGATTTTATTGAAGCGTCAACATTGCCACCTATAAATGTGAATGGATCGTCAAGATTGAATTTAGGACAATTCACCAAACAGATAAAATATCACTAGTAATCCCAACAGGAGCACAATCCACCCTTTGAATATATTATACCTATTTCCTAGTATCTCATTATAATCTCCTTGTTGAAGACCTTGGGCCAAACAGATAAAAGATCACCAGTAATCCCCACATGAGCACTCCCCACCCTTGAAATGATGAAACCTATTCCTATCTCTCATTACAATTTCCCTGTTGAAGACCTTAGATATCAATTTGGTGTAATCATGGCAGTCCCTGCATACTCTTACGTTCTTCACAATCCTAATTTCCACGTCTTCTGGCAAGGCGATCAACCCAAAGGCCAGTGCCAGCTTCTCACTGTGCAAGGAGATGGCGCCCTCTTTCTCCTCTTCCTCAATATCAAACAAGACCTCTCTTGTGTTCGCAGTGTACCCTTGCAGTCTCAGCCTCCGATTCATCTCCACAAGCATCAGCTCGATCTCATTGTATCTTGGGTGTGACTTGCTTCCAGCAAAGAACTCGTGTACCTTGCCATCAACCTCAATAGTGCTCCACCCAGGCACCTTCTTCACTCCCTTGGCCTTCATCATGCCTCGAACCCTGCAGACACCCTTCCAATTCTGTGATTCCGCATAGATGTTAGACAGCAGGACATGAGCTGCATCATTTTCAGACTCGATTGCCAAGAGCTTGTCTAATGCATATTTACCCAAGTCAACTCTGTTATGAATCCTAGAAGCGTTAAGTAGAGCTCCCCACACACCTTCGTGTGGCTCCATTGGCATGGCATTGATGAAATTAATGGCGTCATCTAGACGCCCTGCTCGACCATAGAGATCAACCATGCAGCCGTAGTGTTCTTTCCAAGGATCAACTCCATACTTGTCCATCGAGTCAAAACATGCTCGTCCCTCGTCTACCAACCCAGCCATAGAGCATCCACCGAGCACTGCGACAAAGCTGACACCGTTAGGCTGTATTCCTGCACTCTCCATGCGCTTGAACAGCTGAAGGCACTCGGTCCCCATGCCATTCATCGCAAGGCCACTAACCGCACTTGTCCAGGTATAAACATTCCTTTCAGCCATGCTCTCAAACACCTCCATTGCTGTCACCACCGCACCACACTTGGAATACATATCAACTAACGCGGTGCCGAGCTTGACCGACATCTGCATCCCTCGACTGCCCGCGTACCAGTGTACCCACTTACCACGGTCCAATGCGCCCATCTGCGCACAGGCAGTGAGCACAGAGACCAGCGTCGCCTCGCCAACGGTGGTGCCAGCACTCAGCATTTCGTCGAACAGCATCAGCGCCTCCCTCGACCTGCCCACGTGCACGTACCCCGCGATCATGGCACTCCATGCGACGTGGTCCCGCTGCGGCATTCCGTCGAACAGGTCGCGCGCGGCGTCCACGTCGCCGCCTGCCGCGAGCGCCGCCACCATCGCCGTGACGCACACAACGTCCGGGCACGCGATCTCCGCGAAGGCAGCCCGTGCGGCGGCGACGTCCCCGAGCGCGGCGTACATGGAGAGCACCCCGCTCTGGACGTGCGGGTCCGCCGCGTGGCCACAGCGGACCGCGGCCCCGTGCGCGGACACCGCCTGCAGCTTCGCGTTCACCTCGGTGCACACGGCGGGCCTTCCTTCCGCGGCCGAGGCCGCCAGGGCGGCGGCGGCGCGGACGAGGAAGTTGAGGGAGTAGTGGTCGGGCGGGAGCGGGAGGTCCCGGAAGGCGGCGAACGCGAGGCCCGGTCGCGGCCCGCGGGCGAGCGCGCGGAGGAGGGCGTTGTGGGCGAGCAGCGTGGCGGGGCGCCGCGGGAGGACGAGGCGCGCGTAGGCGAGGTGGTTGGAGGCGGCGAGCGAGGCGAGGAAGGCGGCGAGGTGGGACGGGGAGGCGAGGCGGCCCGAGACGAGGAGGTGCGCATGGAGCGCGCGGAGGTGGGACGCCGCGGCGAGTGACGGGAGCAGCGTGGTCGGGTCACGGAGACGGAGCAGCGGTGGCATGAGGTTGGAGTTGGACTTGGTGGTCGGACCGTCGGCGTCGGGTGCCCCGTGCGGCCGTGCCTTCTCGTTTTGAAGTGCAGTGAGGATTGGGCCGGCCGATGGGAAATGGGCTACCGGCCTGCTATGGAGAGCTGCTCTGTCGGCTCGACGTCCTCCAAGCGCGTCCGTCGCTGCAGCAATGCAAGCTCGTGCCGCCGGCGGATTGCGCAGCGGCCACGATGCTCAGAAGAAATGGCGCCGTGACTTTGAACTGTTTGAAGGATGCTGGAGGTGGATCGGCTCTGCAGGTACGAGATTTTCGGTCACGCCTGCAAGACGGGTCCGTTTCACGGCGTGGCCCGTGGGGGCCGGGAGGTGGTCTGGTCTGGCGCGCGACGTGCGGCCGTGCAAAGTTTGGCCGGCGCGCTGTCCTTGCTCTGCTACGCGCCCACGCCTACGCGTGGCGAGCGCCTACGTCCCATCGTTGTACTACACCAGCCTGGATGAGAGCTGTGGATCGTTCGTTGCTCACCATGTCATCGGCAGCGTGATTTGGTGCCGAAATCCTGTGAGCTTGCGTTCACGCACAGGCGGAGGTCGCACATGATATGAAGAGCAGGTGAAGTCAGATCAGGCGCGTGATTATTCCTGTGGCACGCTGCTGAAAGAACAGTGAAATCCGGTGCATGACCTGACAAGGCTCTGCAGGGCTTAGATTGTCGATTTCACATTGCAAACTGCGGCAAGGTCTAACATGTACTAGTCTGTAGATTATTCCTTCTCTTTATTAAGCAAAAAAAAAGGTCATGGAAAACATGCATCGAGGTTTCAGGGAAAAAAGAAGAAGTTTTTTTATTCCTCGGATCTAGTAGTAAAAGTTGTAGTATTTGAACGTACAACCAAACACACGTTACACACACACACTAGGACGTACGCTAGATCTAGAACCTATACTACCCACAACACATGTCTACAATACATTCACGAAGACATGAGCTTCGCTAGCGACGGGCGCGATACCTCCCTTTGTGGTCCATAGACGCCTGAGGATACCTACACAAATTAGGAAAATACCTAGATGAGACACCAGCACCAAGTCCAAAACTCGAAGGCTGGCGGGCAAGAAGCCAGCCACGGGCTCTTGCCACCCGCACGTAGTGCGGTCCTTAAAAAAAAGAACAAAAAAAAAGAGAAAGTTGAGAGACATGCAAAGAAAGAGCAAGAGGGCTAGAGGGGTGTGTAAGGCAAGATGCTCTCTGATGTCTGGTTCGTTTGGCTGATAAGCCATGGCTGAAAGTACCGTTGGCTGATTTGTTGTAAGAGTTTTTTCAACCAACGAACAATATTTTTCTCTCACAATAAATCAGCCAACAGTACTTTCAGCCATGGCTTATCAACCAAACGTACAGGGGCGTGAATCCCTGTCACCCTGCAAGATCAAAAATTTAGAATGGGCAAACTGCACTGAAAACTTGTAAGGGCTGCCACCTACATCTACAGGACAGAACCATCACCGACATGAGTCCAACAAAGTTGTTTTCTTGTCGGGTTAGCCCACTCGAAAGGCATCTCTGAACCAAACAGTACACCAAGTACAGTAAAACACGCCAAGTCCTCATCCAAAACGAAAGAACTGGTGCTCAAATATATAAAAAAAAGAAGGAAAGAACAAACCCCCATATGACAAATTGCATTGTAAAAAACTGTTGTGTTGCATTGCAAGCTCCAATATTAATCTTTCTGATTTTGTCTAAAACGATGAAACACTTCACAGAACTACAATGTCCTTTCTTTTCTTTTTTTTTTGAATATGCAAAAGGTTCGTGCACCATTGCATTAATGTAGAGAAAGTTTAAGGGCTTGTTCGGCAGGCTGGTTGACTAAGCTAAAATACTGTTCCGGCTGGATTGTTGTGAGAGAAAAATACTGTTCTGAAGACACTATTCATATAAACAGTGCCCCGCTGAGTGGCCCAGCCAGCCCTAGCCAGCCGAACAAGCCCTTAGGTGTTTCCAGGCACTCTGGTGTGTGTGTGTGTAAAAGGTTACAATGTCCTCGTTTACAAACATATGTTGTATCAAGTATTGACACTCTTTTAATTTGTGAGCATCTTAGGTGAACACTTGAGTTTGATCCATGCGAACAAGATAACATGAGCTGTTGTACAGATAAAAGGAGAACAGCCTGGGGGCACTCTGCAAGATCAATCCGCAGGATGGCACCTGCTATCTTGCAGGGTTTGCCATCGCCAACCGACCAACCGCAGCTTCTTTGACAGAGAAGCATCTGCATCTGGTGATGCGAGCGTGAAGATGCCATGGCGGTAAACGGGAGGCCGGCCGAGCCTTTGGCAAAGGAGCGATGCGCAGTGCTGCTGCTATTCGAGGCAAAAATGCCATGGCCTCAAAGCGAGTTTCACCGGAGCACTCATTCCAGCCTTTTTCCCATAAATGGTGAAGCAAGACAAACCTGATGCACTGTACATGTACCCACCGATCTCTCCGTTGCTTCCTCCGCAATTAACTTCTTTATTCTTGCCTTCGCTTTATCGGCTTCACAGGGATGGCAGTGCGTTGCTGGAAGCTGAGGCGAATTCTCTTCTCTTCTTCCTTTTTTTTTATTCCAAGGAGAAAATGACGTCGTGCCTGAAAGGACAAAAACACACACGCACACACTGATGATGTATCGAGATGGTATACTTTCAAGACAGGGACAGATGGCAAATACTGCTTGAAAATTCATCTAATTAAGGACCATATGAATGGTATCATGGTATGAGAAGAGAGTCCATCGTAAATTAGATTCAGGGTCGTACATAATTACCAGCAGAAAGATCCCCGTTTGTCACGGGTAGCGGGGTGTAAACGGTGCAGATCATTCAGTCTGGAAAAGAACAGGTAGATAACACTTCAACAGTACTTTTCAGCGAACGAATAATGTTTTCCTCTCACAACAAATCAGCATAAGCATCAGCATAAGCCAAATTTTAGCGAAACGAACAGGGGCGTCATCATGTGTAAAAACATAAATTCATATCAGTGTGGAACTGTGGACTACCCTGTATGCTGCTAGAAGAATTTATCGCTGAAGAACAGCGAATTACCAGCCCGACAAGCTATGCCAAAGCTTCTGTATCGTTTGCTGGAATTGTCTCCCAATTTCTTTTTCCAAAGTGTAATTCCTCTGACCATGAACGAGAGGAGAAGAGGAAAGAAATGCTACTCTGCTTTCAACTGTAGGGGCACATGCCTTAGTCATTTTACTGCTGAGCATGTTGCCGGATGTCTCATACTAACAAGATATCACGGGCAGAACAAATGGTTGCACAAGAGAGAAACACAGCCCGTTAGACACGGGTTGATTTCACACCTCATTTGAGACATCCGTGACAGCGATACCCGAGTTCAGTTCAGACCGACAATGGGACAGATAATGACATAAACAGCCTCTTTGCCCTCAAAAAACAACAAAACAGAGGAGTCCCTTTTCTGCAGATATGGCTCAAGATCACTAGAAAGATTAAAAGTTCATGAGATTATATGCCTGATTCTTCTTCGAGTCATTAATGTGACCATATGTCGAGCTTCAGACGTTCAGCCAGTCAACAAGATGAAGTTAAGATAGCAAAAGGTCATACATTTAGCAAATATTCTGGATTGCACTTTCACTATTGTTATAGTACAACAGATAAACAAAACAATGAAGGACTTTATTAGGTTCAGAAAAGATGAATCAAGGTGCGGAAAGATATTTGGTCTAAGTAATAATTTTACTTTACATAGATTTCCATATGAATATGGTCAATTCGCTGCCACTGTTCACTCAAAGGAAAAGAACTGCGCACATTTCAGTTCCAAAATAAAAGGAGTCCTGCAGACAAGGAAGTTCAAATGTCCAGTCCAGGTAATAAGAATGGGAATGCAGCTGGCTTTAATCCAGCATGGGCATTTTGGACAATCTCAAAGGCTCTGCTAATCTAAAACATGCGTGAAAAAGTTTGCACAATCCCTGGCTTCTGTCTATGTCTATATAAGACAGCTACAGTACTTTCAGAAACCTTACAGACTCAGATTGGGTAGGACATTTGGAGTGCTCTTCAGGTCCCTCCATTATGATCTCTTGGCCAACCATCTACCATGTTCTTGAAGAAACAGTTCCCTTGTATGTAGCTATGATAGTGGCCTACCTATCCATACAATGGTGGAAGCTATTCACGCCAGAGCAGTGCTCTGGTATCAACAAGTTTGTGGCAAAGTTTTCCATTCCTTTACTCTCTTTCCAGATCCTCTCTACAAACAATCCTTACAATATGAACCTAAAGCTCATATTCTCAGATATCCTACAGAAATCGCTCTCCTTGCTGGGGTTTGCAGTTATCTCTAAAGCATGTTGTGAGGAGAAGTTTGATTGGCTGATTACAGGGTTTTCTTTATCAACACTGCCAAATACCTTGATTGTTGGAATCCCATTGCTGAAAGGAATGTATGGCGATGAAGCTGTGAAGCTGCTAAGTCAGATAGTTGCCTTACAAAGCCTAATTTGGTACACAATTCTGTTGTTTCTGTTTGAGTTTCGGGCTGCTAGAGGAATGGCTCTCGCAACATCATCTGAAACTACAAGTAAGAACCCCTTCACTGCATTTTTGAAGATTGACATCTGAATTTACTTCTGCTCTACAGTTTGAATTACTTAAAATTATTCACGTTCTATTCAAGTTTGGCAGGCATATGCTTTAAAAGATTTTTTGTATCTCTACAGTTATTCCCTTCTTTTTTGTGTTAATCTCAGTCGTACAAAATTAAATAGGTTATGCTCATCAACATTGGTCTGAAGACGTTATAGATCTCATTACTTCTCTTATTCCTTCTGTGAGAATAGATCTTACTAATTCAAATAAATGAAGCGGAGTAGCTCACAAAATGGTAAGTGTCGTTGAATGAAAATAACCATGCTAAGAGGATACATGATTCAATTCAGGGATGTTCTATCAGGCGACTGTGTTCTTCCAAATATACCATAACCAAGCAGTGAGCACATAGCTAGTAATATGAAATTGCCTGTCTCGGGCAGAAATAAATGTTCATTTGTAAAGTGAAATACTATTCTAGCTGCATAAGTCCTATCTGTGTACGTTGAGACCATAATATGATGAAAACACATGGACCTGTCCTTCATTTTATTATTTACTGAAAAGAGAAAACATGCAGGGGTGCCTATCTGCAGCCAGAAGCCATCCTTCATAGAACAGTTCATAATGTTGCATTTGTTTTACCTATTATAAATTTACATGTCAGATTGAAAAACTCTCTCAAAACAGATTCAGATAGAGAAGGGGCATTGTGAAGTAAAACAGGTCACAAAAAATGACCATGAAAATATCATTGTCTAGTGATTTTATTAGAGTAATATACTTGAGACTTGTTGACTGTAATAGAGCTCATCTTTTATTCAGTAGTATTATGTGCCTTAAACAGTGTGCTGACTTTTCTCAATTATCCCATGCTTAAATGTATATTTTGGACTTTTGGTGTGCACCTATAAAGCAAGTACTTCAACTTATCTTCTGAGGTTTTAACTTAATGACAGAATTAGGTGAACAATACTTATCCCATGTCATTTTTCAAAGATGAAGCAGAATCAGGTACTCCAGGACCTATGCAGCAAAGAAACGAAGAGGGACAAGCAAAAGGAGTATCGGCAAGATGTTATGGTGCTTTTCAGTTTTTACTGGTGGTCGGTAGGAAGCTAATGACAAATCCCAACATGTATGCAAGCCTAATCGGCCTAATCTGGGCTCTGATCAACTTCAGGTACGAACACGAGTTTATGAACTGAGTTTACACTGTTAATTTGGGATGCAGAAAGTCATCTCGTGCTACGGCATACCATATCCTGCAGGTGGCGAATACAGTTACCATCGATCGTCAACAATTCCATAAGAATACTTTCAGATGGAGGGCTAGGGATGGCAATGTTCAGCTTAGGTGCGAATTTGTTGCAGACTACAAGTAGCCTATATGCAGATAAATCTAGGCCTTCTGACTATTTCTATTGCAGGCCTCTTCACTGCCCTACAAACTAAAATTGTGGCCTGTGGAACCAAAAAGATGTTACTATCACTAGGCATCAGATTCTTCGTAGGACCAGCCCTGATGGTGATCTCTTCCTATGCGATCGGGATGCGTGGAACTCTGCTGAAGGTGGCCATAATACAGGTACATTCTAGTCCTTTTCATTTGTATCGTCCATTCTACTCCTAGTTGACAACAACAGTAGTGAGGAATTCAAAGACAAACATGACGCTTGACTTGCCAAGACTGCGCAGGCAGCTCTACCTCAAGGAATAGTGCCGTTTGTGTTTGCCAAAGAGTACAATGTGCATGCAGAAATTCTGAGCACTGCGTGAGTACATCTTACTCCTATGATTATTAAGAAGCTATAGGTGGTGAAAGAACTAATGGAGATCCCTCTCATCCGGCAGGATAATTCTCGGAATGATGGTTGCGGTTCCAGTGGCCCTGGGTTACTACTTTGTCATGGATCATCCCAGACTTTAACCAACCCCCCATTTCCAGAAAGGATTAGAGATTCAAATATTTTCGTATCGCTGACGTGCTTGTGATATATACATTTGTGTGGAGGCTGTATATACATATACCTGCGTGTTTCGATCCGTGCTAGTTGACCCAGGCTAATGATAAGTTGATAACAACCAGCTTTGGATCCGTGAATTCTTTGGCCATTACTCCCTCCTTCTCTAAAGCAAGTCGTTTTGGACATTGATACGGTCTTTAAGAAACGATTTTAACCTGCAACTTTTTGCTATAAAATATTTATAAAATATAGTCAATATATGCTTTTATGAAACTACATTTCAAGATGAATCTACTTACATCACTTTCATATTTTCAAACTCAACCCAAAAGAAATTATTTGTAGTCAAAGTTTAAAATATTTGACTTAAGACAATCTCAAAACGACTTTCTTTAGAGAACCGGAGGGAGTACGTACTTAATTAACAAATGCAAAAGAAGGAAGAGGGACGCGCAGAAAACTCACCTTCCATGCCGTGTTCGTCACATGCATTCTGTCGAGCAGATGACGCGCCTGCTCTTGAGTCCTAAATCCCTAGCTATTCCTTGCAGCCTTGCGCCCAACCCTGCGCTGCATTCGGAGTCTCTCTGGATCAACTTGGCGCCTTGGCATGATCACAGTACCTGGAGCGTGTGCTCTTTCTGCGTTCACATTACCTGCATTACACACTCTGAACGCCAAATTCGTTCGGAGCTCACGCACAGCACTGGTCATATGGAATCATGGAAGAAAAAAAAAACTGCAGAAGCCTTCGAAGCCTAGCCTAGCGTCTCTTTTGTTCAGGCGTGCTATCGAGCGTGCAAACCTAGGATGCGCACACCTTGGCCCAGAGAACTTCAGGGCCCAGTTGTTATCCGGGCTCGCGGTGATATCTATATTTTTTTGTATTTTCTAGTAGTTTAGAATTTTGATTTCTAGCCTGCTACAAAAATGTACGGTTGCAGTGCATATTTTCTTCTCATATTTTTTTGCAGCCTTGCAAGCATGCTAGTTGGTCGTTCATTTACATCATTACATGTGCAAATCATGAAACGCCAACTACTGCGGTGTGAATACCAAAGTTTTGTCTCTAAAAATACTGATCTTCTCAAAACCGTGCGGGGTCAGCAACCGCTTGAGTGCAGTGGCCCTGATCGTTTAGCTGAAATTTGACTTATGCTGATGCTTATGATGAAATGTTGTGAGAGAAAATATTGTTTGTTCGTTGAAAAGTACTGCTGAAGTAGTGTAGCAGAAGATGACCTATACATGAAATCCAATTTCAAAGTTGGTTTTGCCAAAAGAGAAAAGAAATTGAAAAGAAATAGATGGGAAAAATAAAATTTGAAAGATATGGATAACATGAAGTCCACGGCGGGTCCCTGCCGTCACCACACCAACAACCCTTTCTTCAAGAAGAAGAGCACGAGCCGTGCGCCCTTCCAGTTCTCGAGGCCCCCTTCTTTCTCTCCAAGAAAAAGACAACGAACAACCCGGCAGGAGGAGATCTAAGCCGTCCATCTCACAACCGGCGCCATCCAGCGGCTCCCCGTGCACCGCCTCTATAATAAGATGCTCTCTTCCTCCTCCGTCCCCCCGCAAAACCCCACACCACCACCGCCCCGCATTTCTCCAGGCTCCTCTCCCCGCCGCCGCCGTCGCCGTCCGGTCCTCTGGCAGAACACCTGCTTCCTCTCGCCATGGGTCCAGGCCTCTACACCGACATCGGCAAGAAGGCCAGGGGTCAGGACGAGCGCTTGTTTTCCATCTGTTTTTGTTTCTTCGGCTTTCCCTTTTCCGGATTTCTGGGGTTTTGCTGGGGATGGATGTAGTGGTATCTTCGCTTGTGATTTGTACCGGAGTTACACTGTTTTCTGATGTTTTTGTTTGTTGGATTCGCAGATCTCCTGAGCAAGGACTTCCATACGGACCAGAAGTTTATCCTCACTACCTACAGCTCCAATGGAACCGTGAGTATCCCTGGTTTCTTCTCGCTCTTAACGGTTTCTCGCGCTACTCTTGATTTGCATGCTATGATTGCTAATGTGGTAGTTTCAATGGTTTTGAATTGAATTCTTGATGATTGAGTAAGGTGTTAGGTATGAGATGCTGGTGTTTAGCGGGATTGGGGAGGGTTTGGTTTATTCGTAAGACCAGATTGGGGCTGTCTGTGTTACTGGTATTGTTTAGTGTCCTATAGTTTGGTGTGCTGTAAGGTTTTGGTTTGGTTAGGAACAATTGTGATCGAAGAAGATCTGTGATCAACGGGTGTTAAAATTTGTGGATACTTGATTTGGGTTCGTTTTTTATATGGACGGTGGAAGATGATTACGGGTAATATCTGATTAGTTGGTGAATGCTGATGGATTTTAGCTTATTTTGAAAATTTTGAATGTATTGAGGTGTTTCTGCTGGGTGGTTGTAAGAGGATTGTGATGATGGAAGCATGATTAGTTGTGCTATTCTAGTACTGCTGTGTCATGTGAGTGAGAGTGCCTCTTTGTTCTGCAAATCAATTGAGATTTCTGTTGTCCTACCTATACTGGTTTAATTTTGCCATCTGTAGTTGCTGCAGGTAGCATGCATGCTCTGTGATAAGTTCATATTTGGGTTAAAATGTTTTATTGAGTGTCTGAAGTGAATTTGCGGTTACAGTTTTGTTTACTTTTCATCATACATCTATACTCGTCCTTTACTTTTAATCTGTAACTGCAATTGTCATAAATACAATAGAATTTCAGTAGACCAATTGAGAGTGGTATCCTTGAAGGCTTGAGCCTGTTTATAAATACAATAGAATTTCAGTTGACCAATTGAGAGTGGTACTGGTATCCTTGAAGGAAGGTGTGAGCCTGTTTATATGTTGATGTTGACATCTGTAGTTCATGAGTGTGCAACACATTCATTTTTTGGTTAAGAGTTATTTTGTTAAATTGTTGGTCACAGTGATGTGAATATGGAAACATTTGCATGATGTTGTCTATGTTTGCATACACCTATTGTATTCATACTTCTCACTGATGATGTAAATCTGATCTTACGCCTTTTTCCTTTCTTATATTTGTGACTGTAGGTGATAACAGCTTCGAGCACAAAGAAAAATGAGTCCATCTTTAGTGAGATCCAGGCCCAGCTGAAGCAGAAGAATGTCAGTGTGGATGTGAAAGCAAATTCAGACTCTCTGGTAAGTTTCTTCTGAAACAGTTCCTGTCTTATTCAAGCCTTATTATGTTAAGGTTAAGTTTCTTCTGAATCTGTTCCTGTCTTATTCAAGCCTTATTATGTTAAGGTTCTCGTTTAACTGCCTGAAATCAAATAAATTGTTCTATGCATATGGTTGATTTTCTATTTGTTTTCTTCAGCTCTTAACTACAGTGACAGTTGAGGAACTTGGTGTACCAGGCTTGAAAAAGACAATGACCATTCCTTTTCCACATCAAGGCTCTGGGAAGGTATGCTTCTTCATGTTTTCCAGATTGGTTGAACCTCTATTTCATAGATTTTTTTATTGACTATTATCTACCTTGTGGTTGCAGTTTGAAGTGCAGTACTTGCATGATTATGCTGGTATCAGCGCCAGTGCTGGCATGAACGCAAAACCTTTGGTTAACCTTTCTGCTGTATTTGGCAACAAAGCTATTGCTGCCGGTGCTGATGTTGCATATGATACTGCTACTCGGGATTTCACCAAATACAATGCTGGGTTGAGTTTCACCAATGCAGATCTCATCGCTGCTGTGACCTTGTAAGTGGTTTCTACTAGGTAGTCCATAGTAAATCCTTCGACAAACTGCCAGGCATGTCTTAAATGTTTTATATGCTTTTTTTTTAGCTTCTGGTTGGGTAGTTATCTTCTTCAATGATTTTTATACCAGTGCACGATGCATGAATTTATTTGCGGTCATACAAGAAGGGATCGAGTTCGGAACGATGATATACGTGATAGATTAGGGGTAGCACCAATTGAAGAAAAGCTTGTCCAACACCGGTTGAGATGGTTTGGACATGTGCAACGGAGACCTCCAGAGGCACCGGTGCGTAGTGGAATCCTAAGCCAGGATAGTAACGTGAAGAGAGGTAGAGGAAGACCGAAGTTGACTTGGGTAGAGGCAATAAAAGGAGACTTGAAAGGATGGAATATACCCAAAGACTTAGCCTTAGATAGGAGTGCTTGGAAGACAGCTATTCATGTGCCTGAACCTTGATTGCTTCTGCTGGGTTTCAACTCTAGCCTACCCCAACTTGTTTGGGACTTAAAATGTTTTGTTGTTGTTGTTGCTGCTGCTGCACGATGCATGAATTTCATGGACTTTTGGTGTGCAAAGTGATTTAATTGCTAACACTCCTTCAGGAACGACAAAGGGGAGAGCCTCACTGCATCCTACTACCACTTGGTGAACACAGAGAAGAACACAGCTGTTGGTGCGGAGGTGACTCGCAACTTCTCAACCAAGACGAGCACAGTCACCTTTGGGACGCAGCATGCCCTGGACCCTACCACCACTGTGAAGGCGCGCTACAGCAGCAATGGAATGGCCAGCGCCCTCATTCAGCACGAGTGGAGACCCAAGTCATTCTTCACCCTATCCACCGAGGTCCACGTCGACGCATCTGGTGTCAAGAAGCCCCCCAAGGTTGGGCTGTCACTGGTCCTCAAGCCCTGATGATGATGCCGATCCCTTTGGTCCTAGGACAGTTAGGTTCCCATATCAGTACTTGAGGTCGAGTGAAATAATTCTGAACCTCAGCTCTCTTTCTCCAACTTGGTGCCATCCTGAAAGTTCGTAGTCTCCCTAGCTGGTTTTAGAAACGAGAATGTGATCAAGTTCATCTGCCTAAGAATATCACATCGTTGGCATCTTGTCTAAAGCTTGGTATCTCCGACCTTCAAAGTTATCTTCTCAATGTGTAAGTTTGGTTCGTCCGATATATCATTTCTGCCTACAAGTTGTCATGCTATGAATGTAGAATCACCAAAAGTCATGTTGTGGGGTGGTAAAATACATCTCTGACCCATGATGACAATTCAAATTTTATTTCACATATATATACAGTTGTGCATGATCTTACATAGCTCCAAAATAGTGGACGAAGCTAAATTAATGGGCAATGTGCCTGCAAATGATGGATGGTTCTGGATATATTGAATGTTCAATGGTACTCCTATTAGGTAATCCTTTCGGTACGGCAAGTGCTTCCATAGCTACCATCGGCGGCGGCAGCAGCAGCCTCCGCTTGTTGACCATTCTGACGTGCCATCTCCTAGCATTATGCTTTCTTCTAGCTTCGTTTGGAAAAGGCGGATTGTTCAAGCAATTTCAGATTTAGTTCAAATGTGAACTGAATCCTAGGGATCTGGATCTCAACCTGCACAATCCAAACATTCTTTAAGAGCTATATTGGGTACCTGTTTAGTCTTTTAGCAGTTATATGCCACTCGCGGCCCGCCAAGTCTATGAAGCCACCTCCCAGATTTTGTAATCTTGACCCTCAGCAGCAACAATCCAGTTCTGGGGACCATTTGGCTCAAAATGTTCCGATCCAATTTTCATTGTTAGCTTCTCATCAATTTCAGCCGCATATAAACTCCTGTCTGCCTTTAGTATCTTGATCTGTAAGTGTTATATCACATGGCAAACAATTCAAGCGTAAGACATGAAAATAGGACAAAAGGGGGAAGCAACGGTTGTTTAGTTGCATTTTACCTTGCTGCGGCAATGAATTTTTAGACGTTGTCGGATGGAAATAAATTTAGCAATCTCTGGTTGTAAGTGTGAAAATATGTGATCATAGAAGACTGCAGGAGTGCCGGGGTGTGTCAGGATGTAGGCGTATCCTTGCAATTCCATACCATAGGGGAACCTCCAATGGCCCTACAGAGATGCCAGAAACACTGTGAGGCTGATGCGGTAGTAAAACATGCAGGTTTCTGACAATTTCTGCATCACAAGTTTGATAAGGAATCAAGAGAGACTTCAAGATTTCAAAGAGTTTAACGATGACGCTGAGAAACATTTATTTCTTTTAGAACTAGAAATACACAATATTGAATCAATAAGGAGCAAGCATCCAAAGTCTTACCATTATTGAGAATAAATGCACCAGAACTTCAGGCTATTCAATATGCAGGTCTATACATTTCTTGCTACTTGAATGCAAATACAACTAGAAATATGGCAACTTGCGCAGAGTGCTGAGAAATGGCACTTTTGAGATAATATGGCACAATTCTATTTGGATACATTGTGATACTGAGTTGTACCTGAGTAGAACCAGTATCATGATTCTCTATAAATGTGACTGCTCTTGAAGGCCACCAACCCAATACTCCAGGGGGTTTCCCTTTTTCATCGGACAAGCGCCAATACTCTGATCTTTCAAGTGCCTGTGTAGGAAAAGATATACTCAATATTACACATGCAGGGAAAAATATGTAATAAACATTAAATGTAAGTGCACAAAGTCAAACCACTATAATGCAATAGCATCATTCCCAAAAGATTGGAAAGGCTGGTCATTCCTTTCTTAGATGAGTTGGTCTTACAAGCAAACCACTTCACAACAGATAATCAACATTCAGGGACCACCAGCTATGCAAGAAAAATTAAAGTCAACCGATGGAACAATCATTTCATATGTCGCATCTGGCATAACAGTTGTAACAGCATTACATGCTTGTAGAGAAGTATTGAAGGGTGGATTATAAAATTAAAGTACCCTCATAAATAAAAAAGTTAAAAGACATGATTTTATGACCTAATCAAATACACGTATAACCTGCTTTATAATATATAAAGCATTCCAGATGATTACTATAATACTGGCCAAGGAATTTGGAGCTACCCACATCACCCAAAAGCCAGATTCAATTTTCTGGTAGATAGGCGGTGAACAGGTACCAGAACAAGTGAGCCCTATGAGAATGTGCAATTTTGAGCTATTGTTTAAATGATGTTTTGAGCTCTTGTCACCAATTAGACATTACTTGAAGTTTGAAACAGAAATGAAATGTTACTACCAGGATTGTTTTGAACTCTTGCTGCTAATTAGATGCTACTGGAACATTGAAGCAGAAATGAAGTGTACTGGCTCCCAGCCAGGGTCCACAACTTTTTAGAACACTTTGAACTGGGCCCATAAGAACTGCCATAGAACATTTTTATTTAAAAACTGTAAGACGCAATCGTACCGCATGAAGTATTCCTTTAGTGGTAACATCAAATGCGCCAGCAGTTCCATTTGTAGCATTTATCCAATCAACAATTCTCTGTCTGTGGGCATCCTGATTGTAGTCCATTTCACCATAAGTATAGCTGAGGGAGTCCCAGTACTCTCCTACTGCAAAGTATGGTTCACTTGCTTCCAAATAGTCTTTGACATATCCACCCCAGAAACCACGAACAAAGTCAAGTCTCCATCCGTCGTAGCCGACTTCCTTTCTGCAAGCAGAACAGGCATGAATAAACACATGATATGCTGACATTTTGTGTAACACTCGAGTCCATCAATATACAACTTACAACCCAATTCATCCCGTCCAGCTATGAAACATATAGGAAAAATTCCTCACATGCCATTGGGTTAACTTAAATCACTCATGCTGAGAGCCCACATGTCAAGGACACATCAATGGTTTATGACAGATTGTGCTTTCTCGGTTGCATATAAGGAAATTCCCCAAACATATACTAACAACATTAGAACCTGTAAGCTACGGCCCCCATATTAGAGTACCACATGTCCTGCTCCCAAAGAAAATAATAAATAATGTGGGTGTGTGTTGTAAGGGTTCTGGACCCTCTTTCTTCTTAATATTAAAGATACGCAGCTCTCCTGCGCGTTTGAGGAAAAAAAGAAGATAGATAATTCCTATTCATCAAGGACTGCTACTGACATTTAGAGGGAAAATCCATATATATACCTATTTCCAATTGGGAATGAAACTAAAATGTCCCACTGGCTGAGGCACTTTACTAAAAATGCAAGCACAACACAATTACATAAATTTACTGGATCTTCTAACAAAATTACTTTCCAAGGCAAGCTAAACTGACAATATTTTGCAGAGTTCTTAGTGCACCTTCTGTCCATGACCATTTGATGTAGGAGTTAAGCAGAGCAGCTGACTCAAGCACATATATTTTTCTACTATTTAAAAAACATATATTTTCTACCCAAATATTAAGAAAAAAACTGGTAGTAAACTGATGACAATTTGCAGGGTTTCTATTGTACCGTCCATTCATTCCAATTTGTTACAGGAGCTAAGCTGGGGACAGTATATCATATGCATTAACAAAAAATATTCCAGCTTTCAAAAGAAAAAGGAAATCATTCCTATCTCAAACTCCAAGATACAAGTTGAGTCCACAAACCATAGAGACACGTGGAACTATACGGATGCTGCATCAAGGACATTTGCATCCATAATGCATGCAGTGCAACAAAAAAAAAAAAAATAGACCAACCTAGGAGGAACTTAAACCTGGGTGGTCTGGGCATACATACACCCTCAACCAACTGAGCTAGCTCAGCTTCCTAGTGCAACGAACAATGAAGCATGAGCAATGGCAAAAAGCTATCACCGAGAATGACAGAATAAATAACTGACCTCATCCAGCAAAGCCATTCTTTAAGATCATTCCTCACAAACTCTTGGGAGTGATCAATGTTTGGTGCTGCATGGAAATTATCTCCACTGCTCTTGTTTCCTCTTCCCTGCAGGAACAAGAATTTTACCCCAACATAAAATGGAAATATTATATTATCATAATTTCTAAGTGCAATAAAATGGAAAGGAATGGGAGTACTAAGCTGAACATGTTTGTTTATGCAACTTAGTATGTGTGCTAATCTGAACATTTGCTGTTAATACCATAGTCACATAAAACGGGTTCACAACTTCGACCCTCGAGCCGGGTTCGTCAACCCCGACCCAGGTTCACGGGTTCATTTTCGACCCAAAGTGTAAAAATCTCTCGCGAGTAGCGTACCACGTACCGCGACCCCGTACCTCGACCCCATCAACCCAGAAACTTTGTGACTATGGTTAATACTAAATATATGCAAGTACAAAGGTTCAACAAGTTCAATTAGAGTTACATATTGGTGAATCGAAACTAGTTTATGTGAAGGAACAAATGGACCAATTGTATGTGTTCATGTTGCTAGAAATTACTGCTGGGCCAATGGACCAATAAGAGAATAAAATTTAGAGTTAAGTAGGGAGTTGACAGGGATTGCATCTAATGCACCTGTGAATTTGTAATACCTATGGGCTATGGTGTACTATAATATCAGCCTGACTGTATCCAAGGTTCATGTTCACTGGATGCCTAATGTTAAATTCTAGGTTCACTGAGTTCAAGTGGGAATTTAACCATATGTTTAATAACCATACTGGTAGTTCAACTAGTGAGTTACCCATTTCATTGGATAGATAGTCAGACCATCAGTTTGGGAAAGAAAATAGTAAATTTAATACTCCCTCCGTTTCAAATTATAAGATGTTTTGGCATTTCTAGATACATAACTTTTTCTATGTACTTAGATATACACTATGTGTCATGTACGGCCGCACGTACAGCAGGCGTAGGAGGGCACGCGACGTACGCCGGGCGGCTGAGCGGGCATCAAGGGCGCAGGAGCAGCAGGCGAGTGGCTA